AAAAAGAAAAGTATGATAATGATAAATAACAAACTGCTAATGTTTCGCCTGCATTTATAAATGATATACTACCAATTTGTTCGAACATATCGCTTGTATAGAGACCTTTTTCAATTTTTAACGTAGTCTATATATATATTGATGCATCGAAAAATTATCGTTCTTAATTAATTTCAGTTATTATTTCAGGCTCCCCCGCACAGCAATCCTCACTTGCTTGCTTCCTTACTTCGCCATATCTTTTCATCACTACAGTCATTTTCATTACTTAATTTATCGTCCTTCTACAGTCTTATTTGCATTAACCGAAACCAATCTATCTCCTCCAGCAAAACTTCATATTTATCTTCATATTAGTGATCAGTCTTTCCTGTACAGAAATTCTTTTTCTGCAGTTCCTAATTGTTTTACAACAATATTTTCCAACGAATATTTTCTGAATTTTTTTCGACCTTATCAATCAATCAGTTACAATATGCTGGACGGTTTTTATGGTTTTTTCTTTGGCAGTGAGAATGTTAATGGCAACAACACAAAAGTAAGCATTGTCAACTTTTTCCTGTCTATCTAAGTACAAATGTAATTTCAATTCCTTTATTTGAATAGGAACACCATCAATTATCATTGAAATTCATCGACAGCTAAGCTATGTCGACTATTTAAAAGACATATTCTATGCCAACTTTTAACTACAGTTTAGTTCTTGTTCGAAATTTCTGACGAATTTTTTCGGAAAACTTTTTTAGGAGAATATTACCGTGCTGACGAATTCAACCGAATTGGTTGCTTTTACTTTACCAGGTGGAAGTTCGGAAACGAAGGATGACGATTGGATTTTGGTTGATGGTAAAAACTAAAATCTTATTGTTATAATTCAATATAGTGTTATTGATACGGTAGTACAACATTATTATGGTGTCAGTTATGTGTAGCAGTTGGAAAAACAGTGGCTGTTCAGTTTTATCTCATGCCCATATTATCTAGAGAAATGGAAACCAATTGCTAATTGATTGTTATGATTGGGTAGGATAATAGTGCTTTTCGAAATAAGCAAACAAATCAACAAACTATCACATAAACAATTCTTTTATTTTTAGGACAGTTATCTTCTGGTCGTTCGACACCAGTGATTATTCCGGAACAAGATCTGATAGCAATCGATGATGAACTATCAACGGGGATTATTGAATCTTCGCGATCACACTCACCTTCATCAACTTTTCCACATAATGATATGCTGTCACCGAATTCTATCAGTTGTGACCGTACTTGGGGTTTGAGTCGCGGATCGCGTAACGGGATATCGGGAAAGCACGTGGAACGAATGCGTCAAGCAAAACAAAAAGCTATCGAGAGAAAGGAATTAGAGCGAAAGGTATAATTTATTATCAATAAATTGCTATAATTAATCAATTAAATACGATCTCCCACATTTATGATATGAATAATAGTATTAAACTTCAAAGGAATACAACTTTTTTTGCAGCTCTTCGAGAATCATTTACTAGGAATAAGTGATGACGGTGACAAAAAACATCCAAACAATGCTGTCAATAATAATAGCAGCAATAAAGCACTGAATATGCTAAATAATGCTGCTAAAATGAAGAGGTTAATTTACTTATGGTATTTATTTCTATAGCAAATGATTGCTTGCAGAAATAGATGAGCATTTACTATTAATAATTTATTATCATCCATTGATACAAAGAAAGCAGTGAATTATCTGTAATCAATAATTCTATCCATTCATATAAGATGTTATCAATTCGTGCTTTTTCCATTCATTCAAATTGAGGGAGGCTTAGAACGCTTTTTTTCAATCATATCTTAATTATTTCTTAATTAATATTCACATTCTGCTCTACTTTATCTGTTATTTTTCATTTTGTGAAAAGGAAGGTATAGTTTGAAATTTCGGGCCTATCTATGTATTTAGACCGATGGGTAAAACATTCAAGAAATTATTGGCTGCTAAAAATTAACCTTCGTAAAATAAACGAGTTCGTTGCTTTATAACTTCTAAAATATAGAAATTTATTTGAGAAATCTCTCATTACTTTCGGCTTCGAAAACTATCGAAATTTACTTTAAAAAAAATTATTCGTCATGAAATTGAGCATATTTTAATATTCTATAATTTTATCCTAAATTTGTTAATTGGCATCTATGAATCTTGAATTCTGAAGTTTATTTAGTAGCAAAATTTAATATCCCTTTATGTATATAAAATTTAGAAATTAATAAGAATTTACTTTATAAATGACATTTGATCATTCATGAAATCTTGCCAATAATTTCTTTATCAATTTTTTTTTAATTCTCTTAGAAACAAATTTCTTGAAGTGAAGTAAAATGATGCATAATAAAATATAATGCAAAGTTCATGAAGTTGGGGAAAAGCAATGAAAAAATTATGAGAAATATCAAAAAACTAATGGATCGGATCAGTCAGAAGCAATATAGCTTTTTAATTGAAATAAAAATTCAGTCATAATAAATTTTTTAGAGTAATGCGACATTTTCATGAAAGAATTCTTCTGCAGATCCACCGCCGCTGGCCATTTTGCAACGGATTCAAAAACGAAACCACGCTCAAAAAAAACCAGTCGTTTATTGGCTGGACGTAACAATGACCGTAAAGTGAACACTTTGAACTAAGCGTTAGCACGAGTTCGGAGAAATGATAAGCAAAAAATGAAAAAAAAAAAATTTTTGTTTCATTTCAATTTGCGTCAGATGACTGCCGCACTAATAACGACATCTCCTACTACTACCAATCGCTCAACAGAATTCACCATGGAGAATTACATTCAACCACTTCAACTTTTGAATTCAAAAATCAGCACAGGAACAGTTCTCGCATTACATTTTTGTCGTCCTCTTGTACAGCATCTTCTGAAACGCCTCACTTGATAGTTATACCTTATCAGTCAACACTTTTTTTTAATTTCGTGTATTATAAATCATATTCAGGTATATTTCTTAGTAAATTGTGCAATTCACAGCTGTTGGAGGATTCTCAAATGTTTCCATTTGTCCTGATAGTTTAATTGAAAAGGATATTTTCCAACGAATAATCGATAAATAGTATCATTCTACTTTTTTATCTCTCTATTATAATGTAATTTTAAGTTTTTTATATCATTATTTGTCATTTCAGACCATTTGTGCTTACTTTCTGACATATAATCACATTAATGAATGGATTCCCAACATGGTAATCACCAGGTGGGAGAAATGGAATCCACCTGTCTGAACTGAACTTTTTTTTGTTACCGAGATACTCTTTTATGATTAAATTAGGTGTTACCGGAGATGTCGCAAATTATCTTAATCTGTATCTAAATGGTCGACAGTTCATTATTTGCAAAGTATTTTATCGATCTCTTATGATCTAAGATTTAATGCTTTAAATTGTAATATCAATTAGTTTTTAGCTTTTTTGCGATAATTCAGACTATTCACCAGTCGATATTATATCGATTGTTTAACAAAAATGGATCACATTGTGTTCTTTGATCGATTTGGGCGTATATCTCCAACAGTTGTAATGCTAAGTTCCAATTTTGTATAAATTTGTAATTATCAACCATAACAGTTGTATAGTACTCCAATGTGTCTGTATGTTACCTATAATTCATATCCTTTCATGAAATTCTACCTGCCTGCCATTTTAAATCCATGTTATGCATGTTCTCTAATGTTTATTTACAGTTTCTTTTTTTTATAAATGAGTGTCTCGAGTCATGAATTATCGGAGTTCCCGAGAGGTATCGAAGTATAAAATGTTCATCTCTCTATCAGTAAATTGTTTGTATTATTATTTCCTTAAACACTCTCAGTTTGTTATGGGTAAATTATTTTAAACTTTATACTTCTCTCAAAAATTTCTGGTATAATTTTCTGTTGAGAGGAAATGATTTTTTATCTTTTAAAAAAAATCCAAAAAATTAAACGAAATTCTAAAAATAATCAAAAAAAACTCTAAAAGGTTTTTTAAAATGGTTTTAAAAAAAATAAAAACATAAAGAATGAAGTGATTAGAATTTCTTATTTAAAAAAGTTCTTCGAAATCTGAAGCATCTGCCATTTATGCTTTTATGTGGATTTAAACTTCAATCGTTTTTCTCCACTTAACTCTCAATTCTAATCTCACATTCATTCTTTATGTTTTAATCATTGTTTGCGTGTATTTGTGTTATCAATTATTAAAGTGATGATAAATTTAATTATAATAATGGAAATGTGAAGTAGAGATATATTACTAAGTTTTATTTATGGAAGAATTTACTGCCACAACAGTGGTCCAATTAATGTGGCAGTAAATTTTTCTTTGCATCTGATGCTTGTTGAAATTTTTTAGAATTTTAACAATTAATTACAACTGTGGATTATTTTACAAACTTTAGCAAGTTGCAATTAATTACTAATATTTAAGCTTATGTTTATTGTTTCTCGATTTATGCTAATTATCAGTCAGCCAAAACTTGAAAATTTTTTTCGAAAAATATATTTTTTTTAAATTTTACTACAATATCTTTTATTGAATGATAAGTGTATCTCATGTATATATACATACAGCAGAAGCTTTTCAGTCTTTTGCATCCGAAGTTTATTTATATATTACTTTCAATTAGATTTATTCAGGTAATTAACATTTCATACTTTCTAATTGTAATGAGTCATTTATTGCTGCAGTTATTTAAAAAGTAAAAACAAATATAGTAATGGGCAGATAATTGTGCGATCATATTTCAATAATTAAATCGTTTGGAATTGATTATCATCCAATTATCGTGAGTTGAGTCTGAGACACAGTTACAGTTACAGTTAAGCTAAATGCTCGCACAATTATTATCTCTCTAATTTTATTAGTAAACTTTCTAAAGGTTTTGTCAAAGGTCATTGAGACATACTTGCCCTTATTGTAATCAAATGATATAACGGATGTGACATCAGATTTGTTACATTTCTCAATTTCTATGTTATTATTTTGTTATACAGTAATGAAACGATCAAAAGTGAATTTTTAAAAATAAAACTAAAAATATATTTTAAAAAGTGCACCTTTCAACTATTTTAACACTTTTAACTATTTGAAATTTCATCCTTTTTGATTTCTCATTTTTCATATTCAATGAATTTATTTCAAAATATTTGGTTGTCAATGTTTAGATTTTCCTTTTTTATCTCAAGAAGAGATTGTCGTAAAATTGTCGTTTATACTTACTTTTTTTCTTAGAATTCTTTTTGAATTTATGCTTTTAAAAGTCATAAGGTACTCATTCATATTGTAAAATCACTTCGATACTTATATTATCAAGTGCTGAGTGAAGTTCATTTCGAGATGTTCCTTTTTTCTTTGCTAACTCTAATTTCACTATTTTTTTTTATATTTAAATGATATTTCAAATTTATGATAATTATTCCTGGAACTCCCATATTCGAAATCTGCTATGTAGTTTTTTCGCAAGAGTTCCGTTACTTCATTTATTAAATTGATGTTTTAAATGAGCGATGCGTATTTTCTGATTGATGTACTTTTCAAGTTTTTTTTAAATGTTGTAAACAAACGCTTGCAATGTTTAAATATATTATTTTTCTTTTTGAAATATATTATCCTCGTAATTTATCGCAATTCAAAAGTTTTTATGAATCATAAAGATCTTAAGAACAATTAGAGTTTGATGATCTTTTGAACTACGGAAACGGATTTCATGCAAAATGGTCCCGCATTATTGTATTTCTTTTTCATGTACCAGTTAAAAATGATTACTGATTTAATAATATTTCATCCTCTTCGGTTCGTTTATCACTTTTTGCCAATTTTTATTTAGTGAAATTTTAAGTAATTTTTTTAGATTGAATAATTCGAAAATTATTTTATGAATCAACCTTTTGCCTTGTGTTTACATTATTGTGTAAATAAAAGATTTGAATGAAATGTAGGACCTGCCTAAAGTAAGCTATGAACAAATTGATCAGCCTGGAAACAAATTTAAATAAACTTCAGGAGAGCTTGATTTTGCAAAAAGAAAAAAGTGGTCATCTGTTTATTTCAAAGGCGTCAAGAAATCGTTTTTCCGGAATATATTGCCAAGTTTACAGCTTGTTTTTATATCTTTGAAATAAAAGTGATTGAAACAGCTAACAGCAAGTAAAGCAGATTGTAATATTAGCTAAAAGAACCAAAATACTAGAGTCCTCCAACACTTGACCTTCAATATTCATCACTCTGAAACTGAGCATCACATCCAACTCTAACGAAAGTATCCTCGAAATTTCATTTAAATTTTAAATGATTGTTGTTGGATTTTTGGTGATTTATTATGTCCCCAGTCATTCTTTCATCGAATCAAATTGTGAACTAATTTGAAATTTTGGAATTTTCGATTTTTTTGAGAGTTGAAAAAGTGCAGCATAGACAGGAGAAGTTATTTAAGTTTACCTGAAATATAAATGAATGATATTATCAGAATCAATCATTTTTAGATTCGTCTTATCACAATCAATGATTTCTTAATAAAAATCTTTACTATTTTAACAAACTACAAACATACTATCTACAAATAGTCAGTCTGACAGCATAGGTCTTTCTCTAATAATTTCCATAGTTCCTTTAGGCAATATAAAATGATTGAATTCTTCAACTTAAATAAAGTTTAGTTATAACGTTTATTTTATGAAATGAACGATTTTAGGCAATATTTATAAATCCTTTTTTTTGATGCTCATTCATTGAATTTTACCGGCGCAGATAATTCCGTTAAATGTTACTCTGAAATGATCATACATAAAATGAACAGATTAATAACTTTTGCATTAAATGTGAAATTGGATTAATTTCTCTCGATGTCATACTTTGATTTATGTCGCCGATACGGCATAAATATTCGGATCAGTTCCGAATATCCAGCTCTGGATGTATCGGCTTCTTATTCATTCATTAGTGTAAAAAGTCGTAAAAGGTAATGAGAAAGTTGTAAATGAAATGCAGCGTCATTACTTACTAATGAAATCAACAGCTGAGCGTGTTAATAACAAATGCGAAATCGTTTGTTTACTACTTATGCTAATTGCAGCATACAACAGGCAGAAATTTTTTTGTAAAATGAATGAAAATAAATTTCAACAGAAAAAAGAAAATGCTCTCTTAAAACTTCAATTTAAAAATACTTACTGTTAATTCCTTATCAGAAGTTTGTTTTTATCGTAAAGAATTCAAATATAATTATGATTCCCTCAAAAGCAAAATTTCAGACTTACAAACAACTTTTCCAACCTTAGTAAATTCACATGGTATAATTTACAAACGATCTGTATTATTTTAAAGGTGTGAAAATTATTTTAAAAACTTCTATAACCTGCAAATCAATAATTTGACACTCTTGCAAAGATTATTTACTAATTTAATCATATCTTTTCAAATTGATTTGAACATTTTAAATTGGATGCAAAAGCACTACAAAATTTTGCAGTATATATAGTGCAATAAAATTTTAGCCTCGATTGCTGAAAATTATTAGTTGAATGCCTTGTAATGAATTAGTTTAGATATATCTGATTAGATTAAATCATAAAATATTAGTTAAAATGAGTTAAGTGTATGTTGCAACCATAAAAGATTAAAATTTCACTTTAGGAAAGAAACTTATATT